TTAAAGCCAAAAAGTGTTCTGACAATGCTCAAAACTTCTTACCCTAAAAAATGGAAATCTGCAGTGTAATGAGCTTGGACCATTTAATAGTGGTATATCTAAGCAGTCCAGATAGACCAGCCAAGTAATCCTATTTTTTTAAAAAGATTTATTTATTTATTTATTTATTTGAAAGGCAGAGTTACAGATAGGCAGAGGCAGAGAGAGAGAGAGAGAGAGGTCTTCTATCTGCTGGTTCATTCCTCAGATGGCCACAACAGCTAGAGCTATGCCAATCCGAAGCCAGGAGCCAGGAGACTCTTCTGGGTCTCCCATGCGGGTGCAGGGGCCCAAGGACTTGGGACATAGCAGAGAGCTGGATTGCAAGTGGAGCAGCTGGGACTTGAACCAGTGTCCACATGGGATGCCGGCACTACAGACAGTAGCTTTACCTGCTATGCCACGGTGCCAGCCCCACAATCCTATTATTAAAAGCCTCTACAGAATGTTCAATAAGCTCCTTAGATAGTGAGACTTGAAGCAGTAATACAACCTCACCATAGTCAAGAAGTTCCAGAAACATCTAAACCAGGTTTCTGCATATCTTTATGATTGGCACATGCTACACTTTCCTCAAAAAATGCCCTTTTATCTCAAGTCCACTCACTACCTGATTCACTATCCTTCAAGATCAAGCACAAAGAGCTGGTGTTGTGGTGTAGTGGGTTAAGCCACTGCCTTCAACGTGGGCATCCCATATTAGAGTGCTGGTTCGAGTCCTGTCTGCTTCACTTCCCATCTAGTTTTCTGCTAATGTGCCTGCAAAGTCAGCAGAGGATGGCCCCAGTACTTGGGTCCTGGACACCCATGTAAGAGACAGGATGGAGTTTCTGGCTCCTGGCTTTGGCCTGGCACAGACCTGGCTGTTGCACTCATTTGGGTTGTGAACCAGTGGATGGAAAATCTGTCTGTCTCTCCCCCTCTGTTCTGCCTTTCAAATTAATTAATCTTTTTTTTTTTTAAAAAAGGTCAAGTACAAAAATCACTTTGTACATGATTGTTCATGAAGCCCATTCAAGCACATGAGTATGTATGCATTTAAAGGTTTTATATTTATTTAATTATAAAAATTAATCCATTGTAACTTTAGAAATTTGAGTATATGAAATTAAAAAGTTCTCCCTTACATGCCAAATCTCATCATTCCCTCTCTGATTTTGAGTATAACTCTCAGCCTTCCTAGCTTGCAATACAATGTCTGGCATATAGTAAATCCACAATAAATGATCAATGAATGACTGAATAATTATTAATGAATAAATTAATGATGATGGTGAAAATAAAATTTTGACATTAGTTGAGCACTAATGACAAACAATGTGTTAAGCATTTTACAAAAATGAATATGGGGCTGGCATTACTGAACAGTGGATTAGGCCACTGCTTCCAACACCAGCATCCCAAAACAGTGTGCTGGTTAGAGTACTAGCTGCTCCGCTTCTGGTCAAGCTTCCTGTTAACACTCCTGGGAAGGCAGTGGATGACAAGACAAAATGGCTGGGCCTCTGATACTCATGTGGGAAACTCGGATGGAGATTTTGGCTCCGTGCTTTGGCCTGACCTAGCCTTAGATGTTGCAGCCATTTGGGGAGTGAATCAGCAGATGTAAAATCTCTCTCTCCCTCTCTGTCACTCTTTCAACTAAATAATTTTTTTTTAAGATTTACTTATTTATTTAGTTGAAAGACAGAGTGACAGAGAGAGAGGAGAGACAGAGATCTTTCATCTGCTCCCCAAATGTCTGTAATGGCTGAAGCTGGGCCAACCTGAAGCCAGGAGCCAGAAGCTTCTTTTGGATCTTCCACATGAGTGCAGGTGCCCAAGCACTTGGGCCATCCTCTGCCGCTTTCCCAGGCACATTAGCTGGATTGGAAATGGAACAGCTGAGACTTGAACCAGCGCCCACCATGGGATGCTTGAGTCACAGGTGGCACCTTTATCTGCTATGCCACAATGCTGGCCCCCATCAAATAGATAAATCTTAAAAGGGGCCGGCACTGTGGCATAGTGGGTAAAGCCACTGCCTGCAGTGCCAGCATCCCATATGGGCACTGGTTCGAGTCCTGGCTGCTCCACTTCCAATCCAGCTCTTTGCTATAGCCTGGGAAAGCAGTGGAAGATGGCCCAAGTCCTTGGGTCCCTGCACCCATGTGGGAGACCCAGAAGAAGCTCCTGGCTCCTGGCTTTGGATCGGCCCAACTCTGGCCGGTACGGCCAATTGGGGAGTGAATCAATTGGGAGAGATGGAAGACCTCTCTCTCCCTGCCTTTCCTTCTCTCTCTGTGTAACTCTGACTTTCAAATAAATAAATAAATCTTTAAAAAAAAATAAATTTTAAAAAACACTGGACAAACAAAAATGGTTAAATGAGCTAAAATGTCATTCCATTATTTCCTTGTGTAGACTTTAGTATTTTACTCATAAATATACTTAAAGAACATTATAATTAAATGACTTGGATTATCAAACAGTAAGTGCAGCTGTATCCCATTTTTTCCTAATATAATTATAATTATATACTCACATGTGTTTACATATGTATAGACAAAAGACTGAAAAGGACACACATTGTGGCACAGTGAGTTAAGCTACAGTTTGGGATGTCAGCAGCCCATATTAAAGTGCTGGCTCCTCTGTTTCCCATCCAGTTTCCTGCTCATGTTCCTGGAAAGCAGCAGATGATGCCAAGTACACGGGCTCCTACCACCCACATGGGAGACCTAGATAGAATTTCTGGCTCCTGGCTTCGGCATGGCCCAGCCCCAGCTATTGTAGATATTTGGGAAGTATAACAGTGGATAGAAGACCTCTCTCAACTTTATCTCCCTCTCTCTTTCTCTCTCCCTCTTTCCCTCTCACTCTTGCTCTCACTCTCTGTCACTCAGCCTTTCAAATAAACAGAATGTGGGGCCAGTGCTGTGATACAGTGGGTGAAGCCACAGCCTGCAGTGCCAGCATCCCATATGGGTGCCGGTTCAAGTCCTGGCTGTTCTACTTCCAATACAGCTCTCTTCTATGGCTTGGGAAGGCAGCAGATGGCCAGGTCCTTGGGCCCCTGCACCCACATGGGAGACCCAGAAGAAGCTACTGGCTCCTGGCTTCAGATTGGCCCAGCTCTGGCCATTGAGGCTATCTGGGGAGTGGACTAGTGGATGGAAGTCCTCTTTCTTTCTCTCTCTCTGCAATTTTGTTTTTCAAGTAAACAAATAAATCTAATAAATAAATAAATAAATAAAACTTAAAAAAGAACAAAGACCAGAAAGAATATATCCTAGCACCATTATATCTTTAGGTGGTAAGATTATGGATTATTTTTTATTTTTTGTGCTTCTAAGTTTTATATAATGTGCATGTTTTGCTTTGCATAGCAATGTTTTAGAACTTATTTTAGGGCTGGCATTGTGGAGAAACAGGTTAAGCCGTGGCCTGTGTCACTGGCCTCCCATATGGGCACTGGTTTGAGTCCCAGCTGTTCCACTTTTGATCCAGCTCTCTGCTAATGCACCTGGGAAAGCAGCCAAAGAGGGCACCCAGATGGAGTTTCAGGCTCCTGAACTGGAGCCAGCCCTGGCCATTTTGGTCATTTGGGGAGTGAACCAATACATGAAAGATCTCTCTCTCTCTCTCTCTCTGTCCCTCTCAATCTCTGTAACCCTGCCTTTCAAATAAATCTTCTTGTAAAAAGAAAGTTATTTTAGAGAATAACATTCTTAAATCAGTCCCTTTCTCTTTCTCTCTCTGTAATTTATTTATTTGAGAGGTAGAGCTACAGAGAGAGAGAGATACAGAGAGAAAGGTCTTCTATCTGCTGGTTCACTCCCCAAAGATAGCACTTGGTCCATCTTCCACTGCTTTCCCAGGCTATAGCAGAGAGCTGGACCAGAAGAGGAGCGGCCAGGACATGAACTGGGGCCCATCTGGGATGCCGCTGCTGCAGGTGGCGGCTTTACCTGCTACACCACAGTGTTGGCCCCTAAATCAGTCCCTTTCAATGGTCTTCTTTAGAATTAAAAAAATAATCTTATGAATTCTAAGCTGAATTAATTAAAAAACAGACTTAAAAAATATTAGCAAATCATTAGTGTTCTTAATGAAGAAAGGACAGTGTTTAAATATGAATAAACAAATTGTTCCAGTTGGAGCAAAAATTCAATTTACAGCAGGCAGACTGAGCTTCCTGACTGAAAAACAAGTTAATTTCTTTCATTCAGAATCAGTATGCATATTCACTGGCTATATTTCATCTCACATCTGCAAACTTAATTTTTCCTTTCTTGGTCTTCAGAAGATTAGGAAACAAATTTTAGTTCAGGCAATAAATCCTACTTGGCAAGCTCAAAATAACTTAATTATTAAAAAGCTGCACTAAAGACCAGCTAGCAACCTTCCAAAGGGCTGTTAATGCCACTTTAAAAAAAAAAAAGTCCATCTGTCTAAAGTAAGACTGGAGATATATGAATAACAAAGTACACTGTTTTAGAATTCTCTGCAAAACAACGTTACATATTATGATTCCCTTTGAGTTTTAGCCATAATTATGAAAAATTATTCTCCAACACATCACCTAGAACCTATATACACTTTTAAAAAACAAAGTATGTATTAGCCACAATAACTAGAAGTAGTTCCTAAAAACCAAGAGATCAAGTTCCCCTTTCCTGGTTTCATGCAGGCTGAGAAGAAAGCTTTGAAAGGAAAGCCTGCTAGCCGGTTCAACACTTCTTGAAGAGGAAAATCTTGAAGTATACTTGGGAGCATCCTTTTTCTTGGGGAATCCCTTTTAGACATACAACTTGTAGACATTTGTTGCCTTTAAATACAGGGATGGTTTTCAAGTATGCCCAGATTCAAATCCAGAACATTCAAAGCCTGCCTTTCAGACACTGGCCAAGACCTCAGAACTCTCCCTTGTGTGCTGAAGTGCCTGTTGATGTTCTTTAAAAGCCACTGAGCTCTCTTACCGTGAAATAAAACTGCTCTGTCTCTTGCTGGTTGGCTCTCCTCTTAGCAATGCTGGGTTTGCTCATGAAAGTTTCTGAAACTGTGGACTTGACAGACTCCATGGAGTTGCTGTATTGGAAGCAGTCGGACACATCAAAGTCCTCAACGGTCACAATGTCCTGGATGGTTTGCAAGGTGGCCTCCATTGTCTTTTTAACCTGCAAAGACAAGGGCCAACGTAATATACAGGGCAGGCTGCAAAATAGCAGGAGACGGAGAGGCTTAGAGAAGTGGGACAGGGAGTGGGCTGTAAAGCATGGAGGACTGCTGTCAGAGGGCGCAGCTCTGCTTCCCACCACACAGTGCTGAGTGAGAGAGAAATTTCACACGGACTGCCGCGGTGTTCTATTCTCTCCAGTAAGAACCTAAAAACCGCTGCTCCCTTTGTGTTATGTACTTGACCCAGCTCTTTTACTGAATGTTTACTTTAAAAATTTCATATTAGCTCTTCATTATAATGGAAGCACTAAAGGAAAGAGAATGAAATAACTCCAAACCAGTCCCATTGTACAAAGAACAAGCTAACAATGTACGCTGGGCCTAGACCTGCAATTCCCCAGGTTCTGTTTCTTAACCTTGAACAAGTCGATGAACTTCTTTCCCTATTTGCATGTTGAGTGACCCTCAGTCCTTCCTGATCTTCCTGGGAAAAGTAAGACTCGCTGAGATGCAAGGTAAGAACCGATCTGAGCTCAATTGAAAGCTAGATCATCAATCATACTGCCCTTTTGAACTGGTTGTTGAAAGCAAATACACTGAGGCCAGAAAACAGTCACCCTTTCCTAAGAGGATGGAGATGTTTGAAGTGTCAAAGTCAAAGGCTTCTGTTTGTTTGAAAATGCTGGAAAAAACCAGGCATGAGGGGGTGGTTTCAGAGACACAATATTGTTCACACAGCTGCCAAGTGCCATTTTGATTAAATTGTAGAGGGGGAAAAAAAAGCATTTTGTAAAAGCCCAAAATAGAGCACAACCTTTGGCAAGGCAAGAGCAACTTCCTGGAGTTTAAGGGCAGGATGCAGCCGAGGGGGAAAGTCCAAGCCTACATTTGGCTAGGACATGTTAGTAGCAGCCCGGACATTCTCTGCGTGCTCTTTCCACGGCTCCCAGATGGGCAGCAGCAAGAGGTGCAGGAGGAAAACGCAGGGGCTGGGCTTGACGCTCGTGGGCGGGAAACTCACCTCTTCGTTCTCAATCTTCAGAGTGGATAATCGAGACTGCAGTTGCTGGCACCTCTGCACCAGCTCGCTCTGGACAGGCTGCTGGGCACAGAGCTGGGAGGCCTGCCAGAAGACAGCAACACTAGGTCAGGTAGAGGACATAGTTCTTCTGGTGGTTCCAGAGTTCCCATTACCGCTAATAAAACGACTCATAGTCAAGTTGTAAGGCTCACAGTTGAAACAAAATCCAAAGCCAACGTGCGTGGATCTCTTCCAGGACTAAACAGCACACGAAAGGAATGAGGAGGGGGATCTGCTTAGAGAAACGAGATCTCTCTCCTTGGAGCCCATCTCTAGGCTGGCAACTGGCACAGATCTACGCAGGGTCTGCAGCCCTGTGGAAGGCTGAGGCGCTGGAGAAAAGTACCTTGGCAGCCCTAGCTCCACAAACACAATGCTTTGGCACAGAGAGGACTTCCTGCTATGGGTTCAAGTGGCCACCTCTCTGGGCCTTCCCTCACCCCACTTTGCACACCAGAGTGAAAGCAGGAGAAAAGTGGGTCAGGAGGCTAACTTGCCACTGTTGGCAGCCAGCATATGTTTAACAATCCAGGCCATGCATGAGAGCTATGACTCAAAGAAAGAGTGTGAAGGGAGGAACAAGTTTGTGGGCTGTACTAGGGGGCCCAGAGGGCATTGAATCTGGGGGTGGTTGGCATTTTCCACAGTTACCATTTTACCCCAGGTCTTCGCTCAATCCCTGTGGGAGAGGCTCCTTCCCCCAAGGATTACTGCCAATTAGCTTTCCCCTGTGTGAAGGGAAGACTGAACTGCTGTCTCCTGATGGGGGTGTGGCTTGGGCACCAGGTTACCCACAGTCCCCAGCGTGACAGATGAGGAGCAGAAGGCTGGGAGAATTGGGAGGCAAGACCCATGTGGAGGCAGTTCCTGTCGCCTTGCTGCCATGTGTCCCCTGGCCTCTTGTTTGTAGAAAGAGATCTGCATAGGACCGGCCTTCTTCCTTACCAGCAACAAGTGGGTACATTCACATGCCCATAGCCCATTCTCTGCTCAAAAGACAAAAACTCTCTTCAAATGGAGAGGGCTAGGACTCGACCTTTTCCTCCATTGGCTTTTAAACTCCCAAAAGACCTCTCCCTCCAGTTAAAAGACTGGCCCAAGCCAGCTCTCAGATCTAGAGAGCTGACTTCACTCTGGCTATTGGATAAGCAGACATAATGAAGAAAGCTTGGTGGCCAGAATGGTGTAGTGCCAAAAGTGAAATTTTCTGGCTGCCTGATATCATCAGTTAGGCATTCAGAGTCCCATAACCCTCTGGGAGCAGCAAGCGTAGAGCCAAGGACCTCTCAGTAGATCTAGAGTGCTTGGCACCAGTTCACTGCTGAGTGCCCCAGAACACCAGTCGGTATGGGGTCTTGGCCAATTTCAGAGCTTCCGGTCAAAATGCCACCCGTATTCTGGCGCTACTTCAAGGACTTCCAGGCAACTCCCTCCTGTTGCTCCAGTAGTCTGCCGCCAAGCCACACTGATGGGGACGGACTGGCACAGGGATTTGCCCTCTCTCTTCCCACTCCTATGAAGGCTAGGCTGGAATGTGGAACCTTTGCAAGTTCTAGGTGTGGCCCTGGCCTCTCCCGGGTTCATTCACTGATCAGCTATATCACACAAAGGGAGGGTCCAGGCAGAAGAATGAACTATCAATCTTCAAAGTAACTCAGACCCAGCAGGGAGGAATCATGGAGGGAAAACTACTGTGGAGCCTGTTCCTTTAAGAAGCAGCGGAGCCACGGATGCATGCTTTGGCAGTGGTCCTCTACCAGGGTGCAAGGTAATATATTCCAGCTGTGCTCTGGAGTATGGAAATAAAGCTCTGACAGGGCTAGGAGGGGGCCTGAGTACCCAGCATCTGGATTCCCCCTTTATGGAGACAAGCTGTTTGGCTCACAAGACAACTCAGTCAACACCAGAAAATCTATCACTGCGCTTGGTCTCCAAGTTCCACTGATTTTTGGGAAGGAATCTCAGTGGCAGCTGGAGAGGGGTTTGGAAGGCAAATCTGACCAGCAGCCAGGGCAGGTGAAGAATGGGGCTTCCTGGGGTTTGGTGACACCCCTCCCCCAATTCTAATTGCACATGCTGCCATCTCACTTGCCCATCTGTTCAGACACTGACATTTCCTAAGCCATAGCAATGGAAGCTAAGTGCAAATGGCTTGGTTTTCTCCAAGAATGAAAAGAAAGAAATCATCTCCATGTTTTTGTCTTTAGGATAGAAATGTGCTAGGCTCCACAGTGGCCTATTAATGTCAGCAAATCCTCTGGTTACATTGGGTACATTGCCACTCTGGAGCACAATTTTCTAAAGTCTGGATGTCAACCTTTAGGGAAGACCATTCTGGTCTCTGGTCTCCTAGCATAGACTCCTCTTAGTAATTTGGAATGACTGCCCTCGGGGAGGGAACCTCCCACTCCACAGCTCAGGCCACTTGCTCTATTTTGGAGAATGGGACCCAGCCATACAGCAATCACTGAACTGAAGAACTTAGCCCCAGTGACTGGCTCAGGAATAAGCAAAACCAGATACAATGAGACTTCCGTGGGAGCCTTGGGGAGGAAGGCACATATGCTTTCCACTGGACTTTAGTCTACAAGGAGCTGAGGCTGAATATGTAGTCACCTTGCCCCCAGTGGATAAGGGACTAGATAAAACAGAGTTACAGACTATGAAATAGAGCTGACACACAGAGGGACGAAACCTGAGTGTTGGTAAAATTCCTGCTCCTAAATCCAACCATGCCTGAAGGTCCATCCTGATGTTCTCTATCACATAAGCCTATCTATTCTCCTGATATAACCTGTAGGTGAAATGTTGGCTCTTACCCACAGAAAACAAGGTTCACTCTTATTTGTACCCTCAACCACCAGAAGCAGAACCAACAGATTCAGAGGAATGAAAACCAAGAGGCTTCCGTTTTCTCTCATGTTAGTTCATTTAGGCCTTTCTTGTTCTGGTCGCTGAAGGTTAAGGGTCTGAAACATGCCCCTGTGTTCATGCCCTCCCGCCTGAGCAACCAGCATGGGCCTCGTCTTTTCAGGAGGTACCTATTCTTTTTTGTTCAATATCTAAGCAAAACCATACCCTTTATCACAATCTTCTAAATCCAGGGAATAAGATCCTTTGGAACTCGGCCAAATGACAGAAAATCACATCATCCCCCTGTTCAGCCCTCCCTCCCCATAGAGGTCTCCAGGGCCTGGCCTCACCTATGCTCTCCCCTCTTCCAGCCTCACCCCTGCGAGCTCCTCCTTTTCCACTTTCCTTTTACTATTAGTAGTTCTTAGAATACACTTAGAATACAGAGTTACAGACTATGAAATAGAGCTGACACACAGAGGGACGAAACCTGAGTGTTGGTAAAATTCCTGCTCCTAAATCCAACACACTTACTGGTGTGTTTTTTTTTTTTGTTTTTTTTTTTTTTACCTTTTTTGATCCTGCTGGGCCCCACTGGGGCCCTTCCAGAGCATATTTCTAAATCTTTCCCAGCCTCAGCTCTCTCATTCAATAGACTGTACGCTTCCTGAGGGTTCTGATCCCCACTGCCTACAGCCAAACCTAGTGGACAGTAGTTGAATGAATGGAATATGCCTCACCCCACTGACAGGAAGCCAGTCCAGGGCCTCTCTACCCCCAGAACAGCATGGCCCCCTCATGACTGACTCTAGACAGAAGTGTGCTCAAGCCTAGGAGCAGGTTTGAGGAGGGGAGAGGGCCTCACCATGTCCCCCATGTGGGGCTGGAACTCAAACTTCATAGGGGGACAGAAGACATTGTTGTACATCTCCATGAGGCGCTGCTTGTCACTTGTGGCATCCAGGTTTTCTACTGCATTCTCGATGGCGTCCAGACCCTCGTGCTTCGACTGCTCCAGATTTAACTCAGCAGAAAGGAAGGTGCGCAGAGCCCGGTTCAGGCTAGCATGGTAGCCTAGGTCACAACACTGCTGTGGAAGGAGAAGGCACGTGAGCACACCGGGAACAGCCCCAAGGCTTGGCAGAAAGGGGGCGTGATCCCCACGGCACATCTGATTACAACAGTGAGAGGAAGGCTGACTTTGTGGCTTCTGACGGCTGGGTAAGATCTCTCAGCTGCTGACTCTCAATGGTTAAACACACCCTTGAGGCCAGGGAGGTGGTGAGACGGAAGAGGACCCATAAGGATGCATCATTTAATCAAGCACTGTGTAGTGCTCTTCCATGAACACGAGAGGAACTGAGAAGAAAGTCCTCTTCCATTTTTAGGTTAACCTTGGGGATGCCGTTAAAACAAAATTCAACAATAAAAACAAAGCCTGCCTTCTCCCGAGGATTCCTGCGGTTAACTCACTATCTACCAACTAAGCCAAACCACTCCACTCAGGTCTAGAGTCTGGAGTGTTGCAACAGCAGTTAACTCCAGGTGAGAGAGGAAGGGAACGGGGAGCTGACTCCACAGGACCTCCCACCACCTCTCAGTGTCCCAGGACAGGCCTCAGCTACAGACCAGGATTTCTGTTCTGAGGCCCCTGCACTTTAGGAACAGCACTTAAAGACTAAAAGTTCTACATGTTAAGTCAAAGTCTGATTTTCTTTCTTAAACACACACACACACACACACACACACAGTGTATTTATCTGGAGGACAGTGGGGAAGACAACTGAACTCCCATCACTGGCTCACTTCCCAGTGCCCACAATGGCTGGGAATGGGCCAGGCCAAAGCTGGGAGCCAGGAACTCAATCCAGGCCTCCCACATAGGTGGCAGGAGCCCAATCACTTGAGCTGTCACTGCTGCCCCCTGGGGCCTACACTGGCAGGAAGGTGGAGTCGGGAGCTGGAGTTGGGCATCAAACTTAGGTGTACCGATGTAGGATACAGATACCACAGCTGGGGTCTTAACTGTCAGGCCAAATGCCCACCCAAGGGTTCTGATTTTCTAAGGCAAAAAAGAAAATTGTGTGAAAGAGGCCAATTGTATTTTTTTTAAAATCACTGGAGGCAGAGAGGCAAGCAACCTTGGAAAACTATTCCCTATCCCCTCATCCCTGAACCTGTTTGCTAGACTGCAAGATGAACAAATCTGACCAAGCCACGGTTTTCATACTGTAGACTAGAGCCAGTGCTCAAGTTGTCCTTGAGAAAGGCATAAAAGGACTTGGAGCCTCCTACCCCTCCTTCAACCAAGCCAGCTCTGCCATTTTCCTATTTAATATATTGGGATTCTATATATAGAATACAGAAGTCTGGTTTGAAGAAAAGATTATTCTGCTAGAGAAAGTCTGAGAACCCTTGCACTAAATGTAATTCCCGAGGCTCTTTTCAGCAATGACATTCTCTAACTCTATGACAGTATTCTCCACCACCGCAAAAGGACCCAGAAACCCAAATTCCTTGGCCAATCATTATTCTCTTTATTGCCTAAGCAGCTCTGAGGTCTAAAACTTGCAAGCAAAAATCAGAGAAGAAGCCATGGGTAGATAAAGGCCATCTGCCAGACTGTCACTTCACCACATAAGCAAGCATCAGATTAATGTTCCTCCCAGCCTTTCCCTCTCATTGTGATCACACTGGGAGCAGCCACTGCTGGGGAAGAAAAGGCATGTGAATGACACACCTCCTCCTTCCCAGCATCTGACAAGGAGCTCAGCGATGAGCACCTGTCGGGCTGGGCTGTGAATTTAGTGCCAAGAGGCCCTGGCAGGCGCCTGGCTGCAGCAGCAGAACAGCAGTCACAGCTTCACTGGAGGCAGAGGATGGAGAGACATCACATTCAGTCGGGAGGGAAGAGCCAACGGAAGCCAGATAAAAGTGGCTGATTGAGAGGCTGCACGTGCAGGGCCCCTCCTCCACTGGGAGATGCTGCTGGTCTAGGCGAGAGGCCCTTGAAGCCGTCAACCTTCCTGGATAGTTCTGTAGACGCTGATGATGAGCTCTATGCCCTAAAGTCTATGAACACAAGTAGTGCTGCTCAGTGTGTGTAGGGGAACAGGGTAGGAGATTAGGAGGAGCCAGGGTGTCCTTCAGAAATGCTTACAAAGCTCTGGTAATTCCCTCTTCCTCTCCGTTCTCATGACCTCTATCCTAGTTCATACCTTTATCATTTTACACCAGCACCGTCTGCTTCAGTGTCCTAAAATGTGGTGTTTATTATGCCACGCAGTTATTAAAGAGCCTAAAATACTTCTCATTTTTTCCTAATGTAAGCTTTACCTTCCTCGGTTTGGAAATAAAAACTAAAAACTGCTTCTATTCACTAAGTGTGCCTACTGTATGATAGATAGTGTATTAAGTCCTTTATATACAGTCTACATTTTAATCTTCATAACCCCAAAATGTGACCAGTATTATCTGAATTTCCCAGACTAGGCTCAGTGAAGTTAAATAACTTGAGCAGGTCAAACAGCCAGATCAAACTGTAAGCTGGCTTCCATCTGCCCATCCAACATCATCTCCCTCTGTTTGCTTCTTCAGATCCTTCCACTCTAATCCAATGACGTATTCTCCATTGAGGAGTGCTGGAAAAGCACTGGCTTCAAAGTCAGTTGTATGACCATAAGCAAGCTAGTTAATCCCTCTGAGTCTCAACTATGGATAACACTAGCCTCACAGACTGTCATGAGACCAATAGCAGGCAATACTTTTACATATACCCGGCACCATGTAGACACACTCTTAATGAACATCAATCATCAATACCCCCCAATCCACTAATCTTTGCCCTTCAACTCCCAGCATTTTCTCTCTCTGAAATGTTTCCCACTCCTCACCTATTGGAATTGGGCAAATCTTCAAGGTCGAAATCAAATTTCCAGCCTCTGGGAAACCAGCCATCCCTGCAACCCTGGCCAACACTGACCCTGGCTTCTGCTCAGAACCACATTAATCTGCAGCCTTCATGTGACACAGAGCAGGCTCCTGCCACTTATGACTAGCCATTTTGTCTCATCCCAATGACACAGCAAGCTTCTTGATGGCTTGACCAGTCTCTTATCCTTCTTCTTTTTAAAAGATTTATTTACTTATTTGAAAGGCAGAGGGACAGGGAGAGAGAGAGAGAGAGAGAGAAATCTTCCATCTACTGGTTCACTCCTCAAATGCCCACAATGGTCAGGGCTGGGCCAAGCTGAAGCAAACGGCCGTGAATCTCATCTGGGTCTCCCAGGTGGGTGGCAGGAACCCAAGCACATGGGCCAGCATATACTGCTTCCCAGGTACAATCGCAGAGAGATAGACAGGAGGTAGGTAGCCAGGACTCAAATTGCCATTCCAATATGTGATGCAGGTACCCCAAGTGGCAGCTCAACTCACTGCACCACAAAGTTGGTCCCTTTATCCTTCTTCTTCTTCTTCTTTTTTTTTTTTTAAGATGTATTTATTATTTACTTGAGAGGCAGAGTTGCAGAGAAAGGGAGATACAGAGAGAGAAGTCTTCCATACGCTAGTTCACTCCCTAGATGACTGCAACGGTCAGAGTTGTACTGTTCCAAAGCTAGGAGCCAGGAGCTTCTTCCAGGTTTCCCATGCAGGCACAGGGGCCCAAGCACTTGGGCCATCTTCTACTGCTTTCCCAGGCCATCAGCAGGGAGTTGGATGGGAAATGGAGCAGCTGGGACTCAAACCGGTGCCCATATGGGATGCTGGCGCCAGAGGCAGATGCTTAATCTACTATGCCACAGCACCGGTGGCCCCTCCCTCCCCCAATCCTTCTTTATATTCCTTACTAATAGGCCTGATTCATAGTAGGCACTTAATATACCTCAGCTGATTGACAGATGCCATGAGTACAGATTCCAGCCTGTCAGGAAATAATCCGCTTAAGTTGAATACTGACCTAAACAAGAAGGTAGATGCCGACACCAAAGCCTCTTGTTTTGGTGATGGCCAAAGGAAAGTAGGGAGCTTTCCTGGGCTGCAGCATTGCCTCAATTTGAGATTGTGCTGCAGCCTCCCTGTACCAATGAACAGGACTCTGACTCACAGCGAGCCCCGTCTTCTCCGTAGCTCCAGCCAACCAGGGAGATTCAGAATGGTGTTTCCAGAAGTTTGGCTGTTTACACAGTTATAGGGGCAGCAGTCAGACACTGAAGCTTTAGAAAGGAGGCACTATTTGGCAAGGTTAGGTAAATGAGATTTGGCTATTTCACCCTATTCCCAGGGTAATCCCAGTGAGTAAAGGCAGCACATCATTTTGCTCATGATGGGGACAAAGCAAATGCTTTCCATGGCTTCTTATGAGTTCTGTGGCCATGCTGGGCTCCCCTGACCACTTCTGGGTTATATAAATGTTTGATGAAAACCATCTCAAGGGAAATCAAATTTTTATAAGAATTTAATGACAGCCCATTCAGATGTGTGATGACTTGAGCTAATAGTTCATTAACCCTTTATTGGCTGGTATCCTTACTCATAGACTCTAGAGAAGCCCTAGAGAAGAAAAATGGGCGTTTCCTAACACCCACTTCAAGTTCACGTGGAGAAGAATAACTGCCCTTAATAAAATTTCCTACCAGGAAAGCTGAGTTCCCTCAGGTCCGACGTGGTGCACATGGTGTCACAAACTCTGTGTGCATGGATAGCACAACATTCCAGCTATGGATGAGGACAATGAATGTTATTCATCCATCCATCTGCTTCTGGGAGAGACAGCCACAGGAGTACAGGGGAGGAAAATTATTCCCTGCAAGCCTACATTGCTTAGACATTATCAAGTGAGCGCAGAATGTCTTTTTGGCCTGAAGTCAAGGTTTTCCTGGAGTGTGTCAGACGCCTGACTTTAAATCTTATACTACACTAAAAAAGAAGTCAGGGGCTAGTCTGTGTCAGTATAATGGCATTGACAAAAAATAACTTCTTTTCACTTGTCCTCTGGACTGTAAGCACACATTGAGCTTCAACACCTCTAAGAAGAAGGCAGGACGGTGTATATAACACAGATGGCAATGAACTGGAACAAGATTCATTCTGTGTCTTAAAGCAAGTTCTGGATCCTGTCAGGATCAGGATGCAAACACACCCAAGCCCCTTGCTTGTGCCTCTTCTTCTTCTTCTTTTTTTCAAAGATTTATTTATGTATTTGAAAGGCAGAGCTACAGAGAGGCAGAGAGAGAGAGAGAGAGAGAGCGAGCTTCCATCCACTGGTTTACACCCCAGATGGCCACAATGGCCAGAGTTGAGCTGATCAGAAGTCAGGGGCCAGGAGCTTCTTCCAGGTCTACCAAGTGGGTGCAGGGGCCCTAGGAGCTGGGCCTTCTTCCACTGCTTTCCCAGGCCACAGCAGAGAGCTGGATTGGAAGTGGAGCAGCCGGGACTTGAACCGGTGCTTATAAGGGATGCCAGCACTATAGGCGGTGACTTTACCCGCTATGCCACAGCGCTGGCCCCATGCCTGTTCTTTATTCATCACCAAGTGCCCTTTTGGCTCCTGTCATGACATAGACGAGCAAGAAAAAGGAAAAAACTACTGCTATGTGCAAACAACATGGACGAAGCTCAAAAACATCATGTTGGGCAGAAGAAACCAGACACCAAAAAAGCACGGACTCTTTGTGAGGATCTACCATAGGTGAAATTAATAAAAACTAAACAGGGCGTCTTGGGGTGGGGGATTGACAAGTGAGATAAGAGGAACTTTCTGAAGTGATGGAAATACATTGTATCTTTCATCTATATCTCGGCAGAGATGTAAGTTACAGGCAGTAAAAATTGTCAAAATTCTTGAAACTGTAACACTTAAGTTACTATAAACCAAAACACTATTAAAAGCACAAAACAAAAAAAAAATCGTGGCTCAGGGAACGATCACCTCTATGCTGTTTTGCCTTCAGTGAACATATGATGTGCTTGGTTATATATTAAGCACTGGATTCTGCTAAGGCAAAGTAAATCTTGGTTTCTGCTCTCCAGGAGTTTAGAGCACACTAGCGACCTTCCTCTGTTCTTTTTTCCCCCCAGATCCTGGAAATTTAATTTCAATTCTATTAGCATAAAGTCAACATTTCCTCTGTTCTTATTAGAGTTGCTCTCAAACTTTTTTGACTCTCCACGTACAGTAAGAAATATTCTCCCTTTCCCTCTCCCTCTCTCTCTCTCACACACACACACACTCATGGACACACAAGCAGGCATATACATATCTAACATAAAAGTTTCACAAAATAAAATGTAACCTCACTTGGGTGATGCACCCTGGTACCTTTTTCCTAGGAGAGACTGGTACACTCATTTAAAAAACAGGTCAGACCCATTAAAGTGATTTCACAGCTTCCTTACTTACTTGTGATCCACGGTTTGAAAAACACTATCCTACCCTGTGAATATCTCTTAGGCAAAAACTATTATGTTCAATTTGGACCCCCAGTGCTGAACACATAGCCATACCCCAAATATTTACTGACATTGATAGAGCAGAACAGCATTCTCGGCTTTTTTATATAAAGACTAATTAATCTGTCCTCACTCCAGGAAAAACAAAAACAAAACGAGCAACAAACACAAGATATAACAAAACACAGCAGCAGAGACCTAAGAGCAGTTTATTACCCCTGCGGTCTGGATGCTACTGCCTTGGCCTGGCTCGTGGTAACCTGGACCCATGCCATGCTGAGGGTGTTAAGGAGGCTGCAGGCTTCTTCCTTAGGGACACTTAATATCAAGACCTGAAGTTAGGCTCTTAACAGATGTCTTTTTAAAAAATGTGATAAAAATGAGGTACACAATAGATCGCTTCTTCTGCTGATTTTAAAACACCTGTTCACAGCTGATGGAAGGTGTAAGGACTGTAAAGGTTGTGTCGGATACAACAGCAGCCCTCTCTTCCCTTTAGGTCAGTATATGGGTGAAAGAGGTGAGAAAGTTTGCCAAATGGGGTAACAGGGGGTAAGAGGACAGACTGGTAGAAGAGGTATGGCAGACTGCAGAGTCTGATTTTTTTTTTTTTCAAATGCAACATAAATAGCAGACACTGAACATAAGAAAGGACTGATTCTCTTCATCATGCTGGGAACAGAGCTCTGTCCCAACAGTGAGGAGCTGTTCCTCTGAGGAAGAGAAAGAATCTTGTTTAGGGCTTTGACCTCCATTGAAGACAGTGTTCGATTGGCATCAACAAGCAGAGAAGACAAAGAGGTGCCTGAAGAGAGACCAGGGCTCCACTTACCCAGTGAGATAATGACACCCAGGGCATTAAGAGGCTGAAGCCTACTGAACCAAAAACCCTGGGCTGACGGGAGATGGAACCTGTATCTTAGAAAAGTTTCCCAAAGAACTCTGACATCAGGTCAGCAATGATCTAGTCCAGTTCTTTAGTGTGCTGGGCTTGGGATGGGATGAGAGGAATTGTAGAGGTGGGAGGGCTGAGAAATACAGCAGAATTCCGGAACAGCTCAGCGAGGAGCCGAGAGGACCCGGCTAGTGAATCTCAGATCAGAACCCCACACAATGCTGTGAAGTATGGCAGGTGTGCTAGTGGGGAAGCCAAGGCAGGCAAGTGTGTGGTCTGGGCTGAGGCTGGCAAAGCCCAGCTGCTGCCACTGAGCACCTGAGGCAAAACCAGGCCTCTGGAGGACACTGGCTGGGATACACTTGAAGCCCTGGATGCTGGGAGGCTGATGCTAAATGACTGGGCTCCAGACTCCTCACTTTGATCACAAGAGGGAGAAGGGAGAAAGGGTATATTCACATATCTTGATTTAGGATTGGCTCAGGAGCTGGGCCAGTCTGCAGTCTGCGGTGAGAGGGATTACAAGACTCCACTATAAAGTTTGAGAGGAAGCAGCAGGAAAAACCAAGCCTGATCCATAAAGTCAAAGACCAAAAGCTTATTCCTTGTGCCTGCCTCATGCAAAACACCTGTGCCTGTTAATGTGCTTCTCTTAATCATCTTTGTACTACATAGCAACAAGAATGGGCCAGATGTCAGGGACATTTGGAAACCTTCCTCACAGGACCCCCGGTGTAACCCTGAGCAGGGGAGTCTCTTAGTGCTCTGGACCCCTGGTTTCCTTATCTATAAATAAGAAATAGCGATGCTTATCCATAAGGGTGATATGACATTCCACTGTGAGAATACTGAGAAACATGAGGTATGGCATTCTACCTCTTCAGCTTTGCCACTCACTTCTACGTACAAGTGCTGAGCTAAGAGAGTATTTCCTGGCAGACAAGGGCAATGTGGGTATGAGCCTGAGTTTGGTAATCAGACCTGGTGGCCAATTCTGCCTCTTTCACTTACTTGCTGACTCTGGGCAAGCATCTAACCTCTCTGAATGCTGACCTGTAAGACAATAAGGTCTTCTGCCAGGATTGTGGTGAGGACCGAACGAGATCAAGTACAAAGTACTTTGCTTTATATTGAGTATAAAGTACTCAGTACATGGCAAACCCCTAATGGATTGTGCTGACTATTTATAATTGTTCTCAGAATGCCCCAGAAGCCTGAACAACCCAACGGGGGACATCTGACTAGGATTCTGAAATGGGAGACAAGGGACTCTCAGGCCCCCAGCTTTAAGCACTTACATCAATAAGGTCGGACAGGTCGTGGATGTAGTACTTGAAGACAGATGCATTGGTGGCTTCCAAAGCCAGTAAGTACTCATTCCGGGCTTTAATGGCCTTCAGCTTATTCTCTGTGTACTTGGCTTGGCGCTGAAAATGAAAAAGTTCAGTTTTACTAGTTTTTTTTTTTTTTTTTTTAAACTGGAGACTGTTCTCTAAAAGATGAAAAGTATAGTACATTCAAGAACCACAATTGTGCTGCTACTCCCTATGCGCGTCTGCCTTAAATTGGGTTCTAATTCTGTTTAATGAGATTCAAGGGCACAATGTAGATCAATTCAGGAAAGGTTAATGAGGCTCCCTACTTCAGATGTGTGCCCCACTTTGATTCTATCTTCAAATACCATTCTCCATCCTTGCACCACCACCCTGAAGGAGGTGCCACTACCTCTGGCCCGGAAAACCTGACATCTGAAACCAAGCCCCCAGTCTACAGTCTTCCCCTACTCCCCAAAGCAACAGGATATTTACCTCTTTCGAAAATGTGACTACTGCTTCCTGATGACCTGCCTGAGGTTAAAAACGTGCACCCTATGTGCCCCTGTTCACCCAGTACCTAGGATCCTTGCAGGGCAGATAGTAAGGGCCCACTTTCGGTCACTAGCTACTAAAAGAACCCAAAGCTTTGTTCAAATTGCTCTTCATGGCACCTTCTGGGGAGTCCTATCAGCCCTGCCTTCCAGAATGTCCCTCCTCAGTCCCCAGAGTTGCCCGTGCACACATACCTTCTCCTTCATCTTCTCAATCTTCTTCACGGAGCTCCTCCGGACATGCTTCTCCTCGATGCGGACATTGGCAGTGGAGTCAGGGGAGCGTGGGGTCTGCCGGTCTTCCTGCTTCACTGATTTACCAATTTGCTTCTCCTCCTGCTTCTCCGCCTCCTTCAGTTTGCTCTGAGCACTGATGCTGTCGGCATTGTACATGTGATACGTCTTCATGACCTGCAAGACACCCCCCGCCCCCACCCCGGAGATCAAGCCAATGGGCTTAGTGCGTGGCTTTACAGACAGTCTCAGCTGGACCTTGTCCTCATGAAGCAATATCTTCACACCCCTAAGGGGCAAATCCACAAGTATTTGGTTCAGTAAATATACACTAAAGACCAAGAAAGCAGTATTTGATTTGAGCCACACTGTCTCCTTATTGAAATGACTTCCTGTCTGCCCATCATGTATTATTTAATCTATCATCATTTGTAATCATTCTCATATTGGCCAAGTGATTTCTGCTGCTTAGCTGGCCTTGCGAAACCGAGTAGACTGGAAACGATGCTGCTTTCAGACCCCAAAGGCAAACCCTTCCTGGTTAGGAATCCCAAATACAGCAGTAAAGCCTGCGGAGAGACCTATACTTTTTTACCTTTCAGGTACAAAATGGTAAGAGAAAAAGGCTCCAAGACACTTCTAGATCAGATACCTTCTTTCACAACAGCAGTAATAATGATGGCTCTTGTTTACTGAGCACTTAGTGTATGCATGGCTTTGTGCCAAGTACCATGCATCTATTTTTCTCATTTCATCCTTGGCAAACCTATGATCTAGATAACAAAAACCTGCACGATTCAGGTTAAGAGCCTGAGAAGGAATAAAATCCATAACAAGTGTAACTGGATTTGCCACAGGAAGGAAGTAATATAAAAAGGAGAGGGATGCAATTTTCAAATTTTCCACTGAAGCAACTGTCTAGGAATCCAATCTCGTTTCTTAATGAGGAGGCCAGGAAGCCTGGAACTCAAGCTTGTTTCCAACCCTCCCAAACATACTACTTCTAGCCACATGGTGCCTGCTCTACCCTGCTGGAGTGTTCTGTTTCCACACAGGGAGCCTCCAGCTTCTATTCCGGAATTAAAAATGCTTGATAACTAACCAAGCAATCTGGAGTGCTGAAATTTTGATGCCTTGAGGTTTCTCTGAGAAGGAGAATGAGAAAGTGTACAAGTTGGGGTGAATGTGTGTATGTACATGGGGGTGCTGAACAACAGAGGAAAGCAAAGGTACAATATTCATATTAATATCTTCCATGAGGGCAGGCTGTGTATCAGAGGCTTTCTGTACATCACCTCAGTTAATCCTCACAGTCGCTGTCTGAAAGACATGTTAGTATTTACCAATTCTAAAGATGAGGAACCACGGTTCAAGGAGATTAGCTACTGCATCCATGGTCACACAAGTAGTAAATGGCAGAATCAGGATCCAAACCCAAGTCTGTTAAACTCCAAAGTCCACATTCTTAGTTGCTAAGCAACAGGGACTTTTTTTGCATAAGACTGAATCTGAATTAGTGGGGAGGAAAGATTAAGTACAGTCAGGAGAGTTTTGAAAAGAGAAACTACTTTCATTCATGGACTCGAGTTAGAGCAGGGCCTCTGCTGGAGGCTGTTTTCGCTGCCAGGGGATAGCTGGCAATGTCTGGAACTATTTTTGATTGTCACAACTTGGGATTTGCTATGGGTCTCTACTGAGCAGGGGTTAGGGATGCTGCTAAATACCCTATGCTCCCCCACCCCCAGCCAAGAATCTTCTGGCCCAAAATATCGACATTGCTGAGGTTGAGAAAACCTGCGTTGGAGGGACTTTGTTGATATATTAAATCCCCTAGGATCCACTGGCAACGGAGAAAGGAGTAAGAAACATCAGGAGACTGACAAAACCAAGTACAGTGGAGCCTGCATTATATCTCATTTTGGATGCAGAGTGTTTTAAATCAGTTTCACCTTACTCTGAACCTGACACCATTTCCCCTAAGATCTACCCCGCTTATACTCCACATATTCTCCATACAGGAGAAGCTGTATTTAACAGCCAATGGCGTGAAAAAGCCTTAATTAGTAATTCAAATAGACCTCAAGCTTTCCAGGTTGACAAAGAAGTGAGAAAGAGGCATCTGTTATTTCAGCTGAAGAAAGGTCGATAGGAGGCTCCTTTTTATTTTTTGCACCTGAATTTGAAAAGGGACTTGAAAGGTTGCAGAATTAGTTACAAAAGTGAAAGTGGTTTTTTAAGAAAGTGATTTTCTGCTTCGTGAAGGTATACAACAAGTAGAAGAAACACTATGAATGAACATGAGAGACAAAAAAGAACTCAAAGAATACTGCCAGTACGGCAATAAAAAAGAAAAAAAATCAACAATTTATATCATCCCTTAATCATAAGGAATTCTCATGAAAGGAGAGTAAAATAGTACTTTGATCATGAAATTATAGATTCCTTAGGTCAGGCACCACTTCTTTTGTGCTGAATTCTCTACAGTTGAAACTGTCACACACACAGGGGTGGTTTTAAAATCAATGTGACTGCATAAACAACTCAATGGCACTACATCTCTCTGCAAGGAACTGCAGGAGAAGCACTAATCACATCTCCCGACTCAAGGGGAAAATGGAAGACACAGGCTGAAGCTTGAATAAGTGATGCCTTGAATAAGTGATGCCAAAACAACTGGCAATACAGGGAAGTCGAGATAGAGTTAGAGAAATAGACAAGGGTACGTCAAAAAGTTCATAGAAAACGGAATTAAAAGATACAGTAATTTAGGTGCAAACACATGCTTAGTTTTGTCACAATATTTATTTTCCAACAACTTTTTGAGGACCCCCTCATATAAAGTGAAGCAAATACAAATGAGAAGAAAAGACTCAGAAGTCTCAGTTCTACAAAGAGGCTTTACTTTATTTTGAAAAACTAAATACTGAATTCTTGTGTTTAGTTCTACTCCCTCCCTAAACCACACTAAGATAATAGAAAAGTTATTATTATTTTTATATGTACACTGAGGAAAAAAGAATGGAATCAGAGGCTGAAAAGCAGGTAAGCCAAGTGTTAACTGCCCTATGGAATCCTAAACCAAAAGTAGGGACAACCAAAAGGCAAACAGACTTACATCCCAGAGACCCAAAGACCCCAGAGAAACTGGTGACAGAGGAACAAAGGCAGAGCCTTAAAAAACAAGAAAACTATGGAAAGCCTAGAAACAGACCCTCCAATCTCATCCCCCACCTCCGTAAAGACTTGAGGCTTAATCTCTTTCTTATACAGCGTCCACGGATTGGAAGACACCAGGTTCAGCTGAAGAAAAGGGTACTGAACTCAAAACAGGGGGGTCAACTGAAAATTCTACACTGAATGTTGAGATGGCCCAGGGCTCTAAGAGCTCAGTTCCCAGACACAAGGGGGAAATTAAAACTGCCTTCTTGGCTATCAAACCATCCAAGATAGAAGCAATACCAACGTCAGGGCTTCCCCAAGGACCCAGTCCAGTCAGTTCACCCTGACTAGTGAAGCTCGCAGCTGACATGGAACTTTTTAGCGTCTCACTGTAGAATGTGAGCAGGCAGCTGAGGATTATCCTTTAAGGAAAATACCTAATAAGAAAGACCAAACAAGCACTGTAGAGGAAACAGAAGCATACAGAGAGAAGAAGATTCCAAAAACAATCCAGCAATACTAGTCCCAGAGAGCTCAATGGGAAATGAAAAGATAATGCATCATGAAACAAACAGAAAAAGGAACACATAGAGAACAATGAAAGAGTTCTTAGCAATTAAGATCCAATTCACAAGCCTCTTCAAGCAGCCTGACTTCGTGGCCCACTTCTGTGTAGACACGTAAAATAATTCTGTGTTTAAAGACTGATTTAGGGGCCAGCACTGTGGTGCAGCAGGTTAAGCTGGTACCTGCAGTGCCAGCATCCAATATGGGCACCAGTTCAAGTCCCAGCTACTTCACTTCCAATCCCACTCCCTGCTAGTGCACCTGGGTAAGATGATTAGGGGAAGATGGTCCAAGTCCCTGGGTTCCTGCACCCACATGGGACCAGAAGAAGCTCCTGGCTCCTGACTGCAGCCTTGACCAGCCCGGTTTGTTGTGGCCATCTGGGGAGTGAACCAGCAGATGGAAGATCTCTGTCCCTCTCTCTGTGTAACTCTTTCAAATAAATAAATAAATCTTTGAAAAAAAATCCTCAAATGGCTGCAACGACTAGGTCTGGGCCAGGCTAAAGCCAGGAGCCAGGAGCTTCTTCTGGTCTCCCACATGGGTGGCAGGGCCCAAGCACTTGGGCCAACTTCTGCTGCCTTCCCAGGAGCATGAGCAAGAATCTGGATCATAGAGCAACCGGGACTTGAACTGGCACTCCCTGATATGGGATGCTGGCATCACAAGTGGCGGGTTAACCCACTGGTCCCTGTAAAAGAATTCTTATCACCTCATTTTTTTTTTTTAACTTGCTGCCTTACTTTTTCTATCTCTCCCTGATAAAACTAAATGCCTTGAGTTATAGACATCTCTTATTTGTCTTTGCATCCCTGGTGCCTAGTGCTGGGGTGAAAGAGACAAGAAGAGCTGGGGGACTACTAGCCACCAGTATAAACAGCAGTCTGAGGTAGCTCTTCAAGCAAACAGCTGCTGCACCAAGTCAAGAGAATATATGAGGGCACTTCAAAAAGTTTGTGGAAAATGGAATGAAAAGCTGAGTTTATTTTGATGCCAAAAAACTGAAATCCATGCATGATTTTTTATACTACACATACGCCATGACCTTTTAGAAAACCTCTCCTATATTCAGGGTGGAGAACAGAAGCATTAAAACTTCTAGGGCAATGACAGTCCCAGCAGAACCCCACACCTCTACTTTCTTTCTCAATTCCAGGGCTCCCTTGACCTCATACTGATCTGATTCATGTGGTTTCCACAAACACTCCTTTCTGTGGGACTTGGGCTTTTCCAAACACAGTTTCTAAATACAACCGAGGCAGAGAATCCCAGAGTTCTTTGGGGGAGTACTGTGCTCTGGCTTCAAAAACATTCCTGGGGCATCAGTCAGAAAATGAAAACCACTTATGCTGTGGCTTACAAACCGGTCGGCTCATTATGAAGGAAAATACGAGGAAAAGAACGCTCACTAGGCTTGCTCTCTGATGAGCAGCTGTGGGAAGCAGCCCCTGGCACAGAATGCCACATCAGGGAAATCAAAGGCCCTCAACAGAGGGAGAGGCAGAGGGGCAGCTGGCCACTTATGGTGGGATTCTGGGCCTCTTGCCCAAAGGTATCTTTGTTTGGGAACACCTGGGCCCTGTCCCCTTGGATCATCAAGGTTCAAAAGTACTTAAATTATCAACTCTTGGGTAATACTGGTCCTCCAAAAAGTACTCATGGGCATGAGGAGCAGATGCAAGATAAGAAAGGCACTGAAAACTTTATCCTTGGCTTCCTTTTTCCAGTGTTCATAAATAATTTATATTGCCTACAAGGTTGCTGAAAGAAGAGGCCCTTCCCTTTCTTTTTTTTACAGGCGGAGTGGACAGTGAGAGAGAGAGAGAGACAGAGAGAAAGGTCTTCCTTTTGCGGTTGGTTCACCCTCCAATGGCCACCACGGCTGGCGCACCGCGCTGATGTGAAGCCAGGAGCCAGAGGAAAGCAAAGGTACAGGAGCCAGGTGCTTATCCTGGTCTCCCATATAGGGTGCAGGGCCCAAGCACTTGGGCCATCCTCCACTGCACTCCCTGGCCACAGCAGAGAGCTGGCCTGGAAGAGGGGCAACCGGGACAGAATCCGGCGCCTCGACCGGGACTAGAACCCGGTGTGCCGGCGCCGCAAGGCGGAGGATTAGCCTATTGAGCTGCGGCGCCGGCTCCCTGCCTTTCTGAAGAGCAAATAAGGGCAAAGCTCCCACAAGAAGCTCTCCTTTGTCCTCATCTTAACCCCTCTGTGAGACAGTAGTCTCCCAATGCAGTAAGTAGCCTCGCAAAGCTGGCACACAGCAGTCCCAACTTCTTACTTGATGAATCCAGTAACCCATGAAGGCTGATCAAACCTGCTGTTTGACCCAGGATTTTCCTAGTTTTGGCACTGAAAGTCTTATCTCCTAGGCAAACCAGGACAGTTAGTCACCCTCATCCCCGTGGTGTCTTCCTCAGACCAGTCCTAAGTTCACTGGAGGGTGAAATGAACTTGCAATTCTATTCTCTGAACTTTCTAGGCTTATGGAAGCTACAAACTCACTCCACTCTTAAGTATAGTCTGATATTTCAAGAAGTCTCCAACCACCCTACCCCTTGGATATATAGATCTGAGTACATGGAAAGTATGGAGGTATCAGGGACACAGAGGTTTGGGGTATCCCCCCAGGGTTCATATAGCTAGTGCTTAAGACAGGTTAGAATCTAGGTTGCCTGGGGCCGGTGCTGAGGTGGAGCAGGTAAAGCCACCGCCTGCAGTGCCGGCATCCCATATGGATACTGGTTCAAGTCCTGCTGCTTCTCTTCTGATCCAGCTCTCTGCTATGGCCTGGGAAAGCAATAGAAGATGGCCCAAGGACCTGCACCCGTGTGGGAGACCCAGAAGAAGCTCCTGGCTCCTGGTTTCGGATTGGTGCAGCTCCGTCCATTGCAGCCAACTGGGGAGTGAACCAGCGGATGCAAGACCTTTCTCTCTCTCTCTGCCTCTCCTTCTCTCTCTGCGTAACTAATGACTTTCATAAAAATAAATAAATCTTTAAAAAAAAGGAATCTAGGTTGCCTAATTCAGGAGACTCTGGTCTGGATCAGGGTTTTTCAGTCTCAGTACTGTTGCCATTCTGGGCCAGATAATTGCTGGTAGTGAGGGGTGATCCTGTGCATCGCAGGGTTTTAGCAGCATCCTGGCCTTTATTTTCCAGATGCAAATGGCATCCTCTCATTCTTCCAGATTAACAACCAAAAATGTCTGCAGACACTGAGAAATACCTTGGAGAAAAAAAAATCACGTGGTTTGAGAATCATTGTAGCAGACTGTTCTGCCTTCTCTAGAACTTTCTGGAGTTCTCTCTCTCTCTCTTTTTTTCCCATGTTCTTCTAGATGAAAACATCAAATTTTTATTCTGACCCTGGACAGACGGTAAGAGTGCACCAGTTCACCTCATGGCAGAGGACACCACACTCAGTCAATTCTCAGTTTGAACAACGGTGGGAAGACATCATGCTTTGTGTTCACTGTGGCCTTGCCATACTGGTAACAGGGCTGCCAACACTGAACTGCCTGGAGACTGCAGCCATTGGTACTGGCCCAGCCCTCTCAGACCACAGCAGCAAGTTCCAGGGTTTCTTCCTCACTCCAACACAGCTTACGCCCTCTCACTCATTTCTTAAGTGATAGTGTATGAAAACATCTAGGACTTTGGGTAAAAGCTAACAGATTCCAGACACTATTTTTCCTTTCTGTGTTGAGTCCCACTACAGAAGTGGCACGCTGGACTTGAGTAGGTCTGAGGTTTGCTGACTGTCCAACCTACTCCTCCCCAGAAACAGCCACAAATAGCAGAGGCCCAACATGCTTATGGGGAAATAAAAGGATTCATATAATGACATGTGTCATTTTCTATCTTAGTCAATTCTCTGCCAGGAGAAAGGAAAATAGCTCTTCGTGGTGCCTAGAAGATGCTCTAAAAATAAATAGAAGTAAAATATTAAAAAGACAAGGTTCAAAAACTCATCCAGTCTGAAAATGGTTCACACTGACATACTTCTATTTTTAAAAAGCCTTAACTTCATTTGAGAGAAACGAAAACTTGGGAGCTGAACCAAAGAGTACCATCTATCAACTTGACGTCAGTAGAAGAGTCACAGAGTAGAAATTCAAAACAAACTGAGCATCACTGGAGACCAGGCAGTTGAATATTCTACCCTATTTACTTGCCTAACAGTTGCCAAGACACAACAGCCACGCCTAGGCCTCTGGATCAAAAACATGGAATTCTCTGACCCCAAATGCCTGTGAGGCATGTCACCACTGCCTGTTCTTCCTGTGAATAAAATGAAACAAAGCACAGAAGGTGGGAGGGAAAGGGAAGGGAAAGGAAGGGAAGGAAAGAAAGGAGGAAGAAGGGAGGAAGTAAGGCAGGGAGGTGAGGAGGAGGAAGCAGGCAGGCAGGAAAGGAATAAACAAGTAAACACAGGAAATCAATTTCACCTCCAAACAGGATGGGCCAACCCCGGAGAATGACACAGAGGGCTGGCGCAGACCTGGAGAACAAGTCCCTAAAAGGCATTAGCTGTACAGTTGACGTATATCCTGCATGGCAGCAGGAATTTCATTGGTGAGCCTATGTGTCAGTGCATGTTTGTTTTAATTACAATTAGCAAAACATGCTTGGGAGAAACCACCACCACCACCTCTCGGTGCATGTGAAACACGCATCAGCCACAGGCCTCATGTGAATGAGGAGCCAGGCCGTGCAGAGCAGTGTGTTTTCTTCTCCAAGCCTGCAGCCTGCCTTTTTAACTGAGGCTTGGCCTTTAAAAAACCCAGGAAGCTAGTGCAAAGCTCGCTGTGCCTGAACCGGTCCCTCACATTAGGGGCACTTAGGACTCCACTTCACTCTTGTGGTCAAACCGGTAGGTCAACCTAAGATTGCATGCAAAACATCGAACAATAAATCCTTTCCAACAGGTACATGTTAATAGTGCAATGCAGTTCATATTCCTTGCCATTAGTTTGGGGTCCCTCATTTATTGCCAAAGGGGTCAGTTGGGCTGGTGACCTCGGCCTTGACTGATCTCTAACAATTATGCCCCAAATGAAGCCAGGGTCAATTTGCTTAGCTGAGAAGTGGTCTTATTTTGAGAAAGTATTTTTTTTTTTTTGGCTCACTTAGTTTTGAAAGAAGAGTTTGAAAAAAGAGATGGGTGGGGTCACCCCCAGTGGGGATCATGCACTGTCCTCAACCTCAGCTCAGCTCTGTTGCTGACGTGACTATGGCTCAAGTTGCCAAATGCTGCTTCCCTCCTGCTTGTTCCAAAGCCAAGCCACCCATGTGATTTACCGAGTAGAGCTCGTTCAGGACCTTCATCAAATCATCCTGGAGTTGCTGGCCAACTTCTTTACTCTGCAAGGAAAAAGGAATGAAGGTTAATTGGGAAACAGAAGGAGGGAGGAGCGGGCAACAAAGGCAAGAGCAGCCCGGGCTCTACAAATAACACAGACTCAATTAAGGCCCATTATTTAACCCAGCAAATCAGATAACCACTGCGATCAGACCCAATTATGGTCAGATTACTCAAAGAGTTTTAATAAAATGAAATGTGCCCTTTCTATAGCCTAGGAAAGGCAATCGTGTGGAGGGAAAATGGGTTGTAGTCTTTGATTTTTCAATTGGTCCCCAAAGAGCAGGCCTGAAAACCACATCCTACCTAGCAACTGTTGTTAGGTGGAATAGGCTTTCTCAGATAGTTGTAATCAAACACTCCAGAAGACTGCCAAGGAAAGTAAGAGGTATAATAGGATGTGATGGGGAAAAAATATATAAACATCCAAGAACTTCAAAGCCTCTAAATAAGAAACTCCAAGCAAGAAGGAACTACATTTCTTATTCGATGTTTATTCCAACCTCTCCAGGCAGTGGTATCTTAATAATGATTGCTTGTGAGATTAGCTAATGTTACTTGATCTGATAAAATATGTGAAGGGGTCTCCAACTGGCTAATCCCCCAGTAGTAGTGGCTCTCAGGGTCTTTGCTGCTGCTGCCCCAGGCTGGCATCTAACTACACAGAACAGTAGAAGCAGAGAATGAGGAAGCAGGAAGGAAATAACACATCTTCTACACGGAGTCCTACATGCCAAGCCCAAGAGGGCAGGGGATAAAGCCGGTTGGCATCCCTGGGTCACTGAGAGAGGACGCTCTTGTTTTTATCTTTCGCCAGCTCCTTCTAGTTCTCTACTACTAAAAATCCATACACCAGCTACGCAGAGCCCAGCTCCCGGGCAGAGAATGGAAGAGGGCTTTCGTGTCAGAAGCACAATCATTTCAGATCTTTTTTTTTTTTTTTTTAAAGCTGCATATAGCTTGCCCTTAAAAATATTTTTTCTGGTTACAAAAGTAATACTTATTTATAGTATTAAATAAGGAAGCCATAGAAAGCCTCAAAAAAGAAAACAAAAGTAACCTTTAATTCCCACCACTAAGAGATCATCCCCAGTATATTTTGTCATGTATTTTGTTAATTTCTGCTCTCATTATTAATTTTTATGAAATTGGGATTGCATTGTTAGTAGTGTTTTGTGGTTTATTCATTGAAACATATGTTGTGACCATTTTCCACATGGTATTATCCTTCTATAACAGTATAACACATTTTACCAATACACCTCCTATTCTTGGACATTTACTTTGTTTCCAAATTTTTCTGATTAAAAAATGCTACATTCAACAATCTTAAACACAATCTATGCTCCCATCTTTCATTATTTTCTCTTAGTGGTGATGTTGCTGGACCAAAGACTTTTCATTTACATTATCCAACTGCCCCCGAGAAAAACTGTGCCAATTAAAAATACCGCCAGCAGCATATAAAGATGCTTATTTTACCCTTCCTAGGTCTTGACAATTTGATGTGTATCCTGTCATCATAATATGCAGTTCCTCGATTTTTAGTGCACCTGAACATTTTTAAAACCTTGCCAGGCACTGTACCACAGTCTTTTTAAAAATATGCATCACAGTGCTACGTGATTATATAATCCTTTGGACAATCTGGGTCTCTGTTTTCCTTTCCATAAAATTAAAGTCTTCAGCTAAAACACTCCTCCAGTCTTGCCAACCCTTGCATTCTATGATTCCATGTGCTCCTTTGCCTGGCTCCTTGAGTGCGTGTCAGATGAAAGCATCCTTTCAGTGTATGGATGGTGGGCTGCACATCACAGCCCAGAAGATAATGAGCAAGTTCTCCTCAGGGACCCAGACGCACTACAAAACGTCCGCTTCAGGGCACCTTCTCGCTGTCTCTCACGCAGTGGCCTCCACCACGGGACGAGGCCACAGCGGGGAATGCCGCTCATCTGCAATCTCCCGCACCAGCCACTCCTTCCACTGTGAGGAAGGCCGAATTCCACCGAAGTAGCAGAGGCCCAAGGAGGTGAAGCAAGGCAAAATGACTCACCACCACCCCAGTCAGCAACAGGGTGAGGAAGTGACCGCGAGTATCACTTCCCACCGCCCTGCCCTCCAGCCTCCCGTCTTCTCTTACCACCTCCTTGTGTGTAAACGGCAGAGGTTAAAGGAGAAGGCTGTTCCTCTACCCTGTTGCTTACCCAGGACTTAAATCACTTAGCCCCAGTGTGTGAGGAGGAGGGGAGGAGAGAGGGAAAACGTAAGCAATAAAACAGCAATTCAGCCCAGGCAGATGTTTCCTTTCCCCACACTGATTAGTTGGGAGGACCACTCAACTATGACCCCTGTTTATTTGAACAGGCTGTTGAAGGGATTTGACTTGCCGCTTGGTGTGGCTGAGGGCTGGGCTGGGAATATGTGTAGCTAGAGCAATTAAAATGTATGAGAGAGCCCCCAGCAACTCCGACACAAGGACGGGGAGGACAGAAAATTTTGCCAGTGTCTCTCCTGCCACAGCCACAGCCACAGATGATAAACAGTGTCACTGGTTCTCTATTTCAGAACCTTCACTATGTGCCTTTGGGGGAGAGCTCAGCCTCAGCATGGCTTCCTGCTGGCTACCACAGGGGGATGGACAGGGCTGGGAAGCTGCAAAGTGGCCCCACCCAAAGACAAGAGGGACATTTATTCCCAGGAACAACAAAACCTGATGCGGCCCAGGACTTGACAATGAAGACCGGAGAGCCCTTCCGTTCCCTACAAAAAAGCAAGGGGTTTCTAGGCAGGGAAGCAAAAGGATTTACAGAGCAGTCTTTGTGCACAAATATACAGCCTACATCTCTTTTCTTTAACATTTCTTGGAAGAGAATGAGTCATCTAAACATTGCAGGAAACCAAATAGAAGTCGGGGAAAATATTACTTTGGGCAAAGTTTTTCTCTTAAATGTTTGCATAGTAATCTTTGCCTGGAAAAAAAAGATGCCTAAATTTAGATTAGAGATGTGGCACAGTTAACAAGGCTAGTTCTGTGGGGTAGGAAGTGCAATGGCCTGCACAGGCCTGGATCTTTTATTTTGAAACTCACCAGAACCGTTCGGCCAGAGTGTGTTTCCGGGGGCCCCCACTCTGCCTGATGCCAAGGCAGGGCTGATCATAAGAAATGGGAGTGCAATAGCTCCTCCCTGCTGTGCACTTACAAAATACATAGAGAATCTTCCTTTTCCAACAGATAGCAGCACCGGACAACAGAACTGAAACACACAGCGTTATGTCCCCAAGACATAATGTTCAAAACCCTCCTTGCTCACTGAAAGGATAGAGCAGCAAAAATGTATGGAAACGCCAGGCTACGTGGTCTGGGCTAGCTTGTCCACTCAACTTTGGATCTTCCTAATTATATTTGCTGGTTTTATCCATTAGCTTTCCCAAAGAACATCCATTTTGAAGGGCTTTAAAGCAGTGTTCATCAGGGAGATTACCTACTACCTGATTTTCTAGTTATTCACATCAGCATTACTGTGCTTTCCAAGTGGGAGGTGAGGAATGGGGGGGGGGCTGTTGTTTATTGGCTATCTGGACAACAAAGCTGTATTATTTGACAAGCACAAAATTACCCCTATTTTTATGAAAGAAGGAAAGAAAAAAAAAAAAAGAGGAAGGCACGTCTCTGCTATGTGGTGAGAGCTAATTTCATCCCCTCCCCAAAGCTGAGCCTGTCAGCAGGTAGAAACAGTTGGGTCATTTTGTTCTCTGCCATTCAGCCTGTGTCAGCAGTTTTCCAAAAAGGATCCAATTTTCAAGGGCATATATCTCATTCACCAGTGCTGGCATCCCCTCCCAGCTCAACGATACTTCAGAGACCAACTGTTGAAAAAAAAAATGGCAGTTTACAATTGAATTTAGGTTTATGGATTTCAGAGGAAAGGGACTTGAACCTTACATTAAGCTCTGGCAGCAGGAGAAGCGCTACCAGACAGAGTGACAATTTCAGGAGCACTGGCTCACCACTTCAAAGACTCCAGGTTTCATGAGCTAGGGCTTGGGAGGAGACGCTCTTGGAGGGGAGGATAGGGCTAAAAGCACCAGGGCCTAGGAGATGGTGGGCATTGTATCTGGGCTTTCCCCCATCCCAACTCAGTGCACCAAAATAGGGGGTGCAGTTCATGTCAAGGATGGAGAGGTTCAGAGGGGGTGATTCCCATAGGTCAAAGGTCAGGAATGATTTCGGATTTCTCCTGAACCACTACTTGCATTTATGCAAACAAGGTTCTTTCTGTTCAATATAGAACACCCTTGGATGGCTCTAGGAAGGGGGAGCTCCGGTGAGGACATTATGGTCCATGGAGGCCAACATCATATAAAGTACAATATGCTGAACTGTATACAAAGAGAGGTAAGCTGGGAGCTACCACAAGGCTTTTTTTTTTTTTTTTGACAGGCAGAGTGGACAGTGAGAGAGAGAGAGAGAGAGAGAGAGAAAGGTCTTCCTTTTGCTATTGGTTCACCCTCCAATGGCTGCCACGGCCGGCGCGCTGAGGCCAGTGCACCGCGCTGATCTGAAGCCAGGAGCCAGGTGTTTATCCTGGTCTCCCACAGGGTGCAGGGCCCAAGCACTTGGGCCATCCTCCACTGCACTCCCGGGCCACAGCAGAGAGCTGGCCTGGAAGGGGGACAACTGGGACAGAATCCGGCGCCCTGACCGGGACTAGAACCCGGTGTGCCGGCGCCGCAAGGCGGAGGATTAGCCTATTGAGCCACGGTGACAGCCACCACCAGGCTTTTACCCTCTGAAGAGTAGATCAGGATGTTTAAAAAAAACCAAATTTTTATTGCAACCCAGTGTAGGATGTGCCTACAGTAAAAGTACTTACATGGAATGCAACGCCACTGCCTTCCCAGTGGAAGGCATGCAATCTGATATTTCTTATTCTTTTCTATTTTTCATTTGGTCATAACTCACTAAAATTATTTTGTTACTCATTAATGAGTCAGTATACAC